GAGTTGTCAGACAGTTTTTCATGGGAGCGAGGAAGAATTCTACCAAGTCTGCAGAGTAGACTTATGTATGTAGAGGCCGTATACAAGGTATGCTTTTCTAACAAATTCCTCTAGTTAAACTGTTAGGTTTATGTTTCTGTAGCCTGCTCCAGGTATTAGATTGGTAGCAATGCACTGATTGATTTTCCGAAGCTTGGAGGAAAAGATAGTTGTTAATGAGTATAGGTAATAACATGATTTCGAGTGCAATTTGGTGTTAATACGCTCGAGTAAATTTTCCAGTACCACAAAATTGCACGAGCTGTGGGGCGAGTGAAGTTTGTAGTCTTTGAAAAATTTATACCAAATTGTAAGATAAATCATGTTATTGTTAATAATTTACATGGAAAAACATCACAGAAAGGCAAGACAGACTAAACGTTAGGTTTGGAGCGATAGTGTGAGTGCGTATGTGCGTGCGGACGTGCATGTGCGTGCGCACGTGCGTGTACGTGTGCGAGCAGGTGCGTACAAGCGTGTGCGTGCATGTGTGTTCGTGCGTGCTTATTTGTGTAGTAAGGGTTGGAACTGTGCTATTGGAGTGAGCATGGTAATAGTGAATGTATGAATATTAGGCCATTTCCGACTTCTTAAAGGCTTCCCTTTTTCGTGAAAATAGTTTCGTTTGCAAAATAATTTCTTTTCCTATGAGAAGTATCGTTTCTGGGATCGTTTTAAATCAGAGGCTGTGGGCCTCTCGGAAATGGTCCAACTCGGTTACCCGTTTATACGAGGAGACACTAACCTCTCTCTTTCCATATCCTTAGGGGTTTTTGTCGGGAGTACCTTAATCAACATGAACTCTGGAGTCAATCACAGAACAGCATCTGGTTGTGAAGAGAAAATGGGAAGCCACTGCTCATCGAACCCTTGTCCAGACCAAAGCACGTGCTAAGAGGAGTTCGACTCCTACAAATGCATATGTCCCGTAGGTTACGTTGGTAACCACTGCGTGCGCGTATATTCTCTTAAGCCGTGCCGACATGGCAAATGTGAAAGTTCAAACCATGGAAAGGGATTCCGATGTGGTTGTCCTCAACAGTACACTGGTAAGTGGAATTTTTTCAATTTTTATCTTATTTTTTTCAATTAAAGTTATTACCCATTGGGCACATTTCTAAATAAAATAAATAAGTAAATAAATAGCAAATAATACATGGGCGCGCGTAGATATGGAATTTCCCTTCGAGTGTTTAACTCGATAGCTCACGAGTGAGATGTTGAGTTGAATACGAGCGAACTTGTACTGGTGATTGGGTCGAACTCCCACAGGTGAATAGGCGCGAACTTGCAGTGGGGCGAATTCACCAGTTACCGATATGCAACGCAAATCTCTCAATGTTGAACTTAAGATCCACTTAAATTTAAAGTTTGAATGTTTTGTATAATTTCTTAGGGGAATTTTGTGAGGTTCGCATTGAGATACCCTGTCGAGATAAGTACTTTGGTGCTTCAAGTATAGGCGTCTGTGGTCCGTGTAAATGTGAAGTGGGGAATGAATCTGAGTCCAGTTTGTAACAAGTCTACAGGAGAGTGCTACTGTAATGTAAGTACCACATGGAAGAAGCTTATCAGATGAATTTTACTAAAACCGTGGAAAGTTTCGAGAGTCTAAACCAGGGGAAAAAATCAGAGCAGTTTCTGTTTTTCTTTAAGAAGTCAGGAGAACGAGGGAAAAATCAGTGGGGGAAAAAGCGATAATGCAGAAAACAAATGAACAAATGAAGAAAAGACTCCTTAATCTACCATTATGGACTTAGGCAGGAAAGGAGAATTGTTTGCAGTCTGGGGGGACATAAAGTTTTTTGTGTGTGTGCTTTTACATTTCGTCGAAAAGAACAGGTTTTTATACCGATTTGTTTGCGATTTGCATCATTCTTTATTTGATTGGTATGGGAAACAGTGCTGAAAAGTACATTGTAGTGGGCGATGTGTCTGAAAGAAAGCCACTGAATGGCTCCCATGTGGTCTTGCAATTTTCGTCGCCTGTAAACCGCGGCTACTGTTTTAGAATTCAGTTCTGATGCTGTGTCCTCCATTCACTTGTTATGCAATTGGAAATCTGTGCTTTTTTTTAAGTATTTTTCTCATTTTGTTTTTGTCCAGGCAAAGCGCTATCGAAATATTGTAAGCTACACATTTTCGGGGTGCCCCTGTGTTTAGTGATGGCTGTCTTAGATGTGACTGTGAAGAGATTGGTAGGACTGGTGATCAGTGTGCTACAGAGAATGGCCAGTGCCCTTGTCTTAGAGGCCGAAGGGGAGGGAAGAATGTGGTCGGAAGGCGTTGTAATCAGTGCGAAGA